GTGTGTGTGTGTGTGTGTGTGTGTGTGTGTGTGTGTGTGTGTGTGTGCTTACGGCTTTAACTCAGAGAGAGAGAATGTATAAATGAATGAATGAGTCACAAATGACAACCATGACAGCTTTCCTTTAAGTAAAGGCAATAGGTAGATTCTCACAGAAACTCTTCCTGGATTTCCAGTGATGTTCATCTGGCATCCTGGGTGTTGAAGATCTGCCACACAGTCCTCACCATCAGCTACATCAGAGCATACAGTGCATGTGTGGTTTCAAGCCCTCCCTGAATTTTAAACCATGTAGTTCACCTCCCTACCTTGGTTAATTTGGCTCAAATAGATGGTTGCTGGCTGATGTTTGAGCCACAGTGGCCCCTAGAAGTTCCAAAACTCATGTCAGCCATGAGACCTAGTGTGGAGTGAATGTCTATCAGCTCCATTTCCTCAGCAGGCTGCCTGTGGCCAGCCAGTAAGGGAGATGTTAGGTGATAAAGGATTGGCTTTACTGGGGAGATAGGTGCAGTTGTTTGTTTTTTTTTTTTAATTTTTATTTTTTTAATATTAGTTACAGTTTTTAACTTTGTATCCCAGCTGTATCCCGCTCCTTCATTCCCTCCTAATCCCACCCTCCCTCCCTCATTTTCTCCCTACCCCTTTCCAAGTCCACTGATAGGGGAGGACCTCCTCCCCATTCACCTGACCCTAACTTATCAGGTATCTTCAGGCCTGGCTGCAAAGTCCTCCTCTGTGGCCTAACAGGTCTGCTCCTCCCTCAGGTGGTGGTGGTGGGGGAGGTCAAAGAGCCAGCCATTGAGTTCATGTCAGAAATAGTCCCTGTTCCCCTTACTAGGGTCCCCACTTGGATACTGAGCTACCATGGGCTACATCCGAGCAGGGGTGCTAGGTTATATCCATACATGGTCTTTGCTTGGAGATAGACCCCTGTGCCCAGATATATTTGGTCCTTTCAGAGCTCCTGTCCTCTCCAGGGGCAGTTCTTAAAGGTAACAGGAGGCCCAGCTTTGGCATACTTCTAGTCTTCTAGTGTTATGTAAACTGTGAGTATTTCCTGTGCAAATTGCAGGCCTTCCCAGGACCTGGTCTCTTGGGAGTGGAGGCCATAATTGGCCAAATGGCTCCTGCATTTAAAAAGACATTGTTTTTAAACATCACTTTTCCTACTGATGTGCCTGCCTATTAGGAGAGCTTATCTAATGTAGACACACTGTCTTCTCAGTGGAGTGTATGGCCAGAGAGTGAAGATCTTGTAGCATGTTCACTAACTTACAAGGTTTGTTTGTTTGTTTGTTCGTTTGTTTGAACAGTGCATACTGACTTCTGATGTCCTTTTTTTTTTTTTTTCTGGTTCAACTCTACATACATATCTGCTCTTTCCTTCTTCGTTATCAGCCCATCTCCTCTCAGCTCATCTGCCCTGGTTCCTGCTGGATGGCTCTACATTCTCATAGACTCTGTTCTCTCTCTGATTGTTTACCTCTTCTCAGGCTTTGCACCTCTCAGAATAAGAGCTTCAGGTATACTGGGTCAGTACACATCCACATGAATGCAAAATGAAGTCCAAAGTGACAGAGATAGGAGGCACTGTGGCTCCAGGATAAATCTCAGGTCAGCCAGACTTGATAACCAATTGCAAGCCACAGCACCAGTTGCCTGATGGGTTTCACTGAGCATCTAGGTAAGGGGAAGTGCAGGCTGACTCCACAGGCAAGATCTGGAGAGCTAACCAAGCCAGGAATGTGGTGGGGGCATGGTGGCAGAGTCACGTGACCTCTGACTGCTTCCTCTGACTGCTTGCTCTGCCATCTTTTGCCATCTGTCTTAGAACAAAGCATTTATTCTTTTGGAGTGACAAAAGCCAAACCCAAGTAGAGATGTGCTTTTCAGGGTTGCTACCAATGTGGCAAGCATCTAATATGGTCCCTGACAAAAACCAGGTCCTCGGTTAATGTGCAAGAGCCCAGGCAAGTTCACCTATCAAAAGCAGGCTTTTGAGATGGTCACTGGGGACAGTCAGGGTGATGATAGTAGTCCCTGAGTGGGAGAGAAAAGCAGCAGTGATAAGGAAGAAAGCAAGATGCCCAGGTCAGCAATCAAACCACCAAGATGAAGATCCTGAGGATGAGAAACAGAAGGTACCAGCAGCTGAACGAT